CGGGCCCAGGCCCACTCTGTGCGCGGGGCCCCCTGGGGCCGAGGGTGCYGCTGCTGCCCGTGTCCACGGCTCCGGGCCCGGTCCCGTGCAGCCCCCCCTGCTGTTGGTGCCGGGGATACAGGGGTGGAYGGAGCTGTGGGCTGCGGCCCGGGCTGGACCCCCCTGTGTCCCCCGGGCCCTGCGCTGTGCCCCCCGTTCTCCCCCAGGAAAGAAGCAGGGACCAACACGGCTGTTTTCGGGCTTTTAGTTTGAAAAAGGATCCATTGGAAGTGTACAACAGAACAGGGTGCGGCGGCAGCACCACGACCAGGTTGATCCACAAATAAAAACAGGAAGGGCCTTAAATAATCGGGTGCAGATTAAAAAACCTCAACAGTGAAAAAGTTCTTCCCTCCAAACAGAAAGTCACAGGCACAGAAATGGCAACAACCACACGGAGACAAGAGGGGATTATCCTTCCAGCCCCGGGCCTCGGTGGCCCTGGCGCGGCAGCTCCGTGCGGCGCAGCCCCGGCCTCGCTCTTTGGAATGGCTACAAATGAACGTGTGACACGGTGACATGCCCTTGCTCACCACCCCCCACCCCCCGACGAACACGGACAGACAAGGCCTCTGCTAAGGCTAAAAAAAGGACAAGACTTGGGAGTCTTGAGTTCAGCATGTTTAAGAAACGAGAGTCTGGTGAGCGCCCAGCAAAGTCTCTGTGCCAGGCCTGTTATTCCAGCTTGCTCTTCTTGCTGCTGTCGCTGCCGTTCTCCTCTGCCGCTGCTGCCGTCGCCTCCAGTTTCCTCTTCCCGCTCTCCGCAGGGCTGTGCGTGTTGCGGGGCTTGAAGCTGATGATGATGCAGGTCATGTTGTCACAGCCGGTGCCGTCCCCTGAGGTGTCTGGAGCCAAGCACTGATCCAGCAGCTGCGGGGGGCAGGACGGGGCACGTGAGCGGTGCAGAGACCCGCAGCGACCCAGGACGCGGGGCCGCGGCATCGAGAGCCGCGGCAGAGCCGGCCACCCGTCCCCCCCCCCCGGGGGACACAAAGAGGGGACATAAACAGGGGACACAAAGAGCACCAGCGGCACACGGGGACCCCCGGTGACGGGGCCCTGCACACGATGCCACGCATAGGGCTGGTCCCCAAGCCGCGGGCACCTCCACCCCCAGCAGCGCCYGGGGAAAGGCACCAATGCAGGGGACTACCGGGGGGCCAGGGCGGCGCGGGGGGCTCTGCCCTCACCTCTTCCACAATGGAGGAGAGCGGCCTCAGGGCTCCGTTTTCATCCTTCTGGGTGATCTTGGCCTGGATGAAATCCACCACCTCCTGGCTGCTCATGACGTTCCTGCAGGGCGGGCGTTAGAGGGGCTCGTGAGGAGCGGTCGCAGCTCTGCGCATTGTCCTGTCCCCGTGTGCCCTCCCCGTGTCCCCGGCAACACCAGGGTCCCCTCAGCTCCCCCAGGACACAGGGGCTAAGGGCCCACCCAGCGCCAGGGACCTCCCCAGGCACCGGGACACAGGCAGCGAGGCCCGCGCTGCTCCGGCGCTACCCACCAGATTCCATCGCAGGCAATAACCATGAAGTCGTGGTCGTCGTTTATCGTCAGCACCTTGATGTCGGGCAGGGCAGAGATCATCTGCTCCTCCGGAGGCAGGTTCTTGTTTCGCTTGTAGAAGTGGTCTCCTGCACAGAGAGGAGCCGCTTGCGGTGCCGGCCGGCAGGGCCGCCCGCATCGGCTCCACGGGCTCCGTGTGCCACCCTTCCCGGCTCCGCGCCCCCGGCCGGGCCGCCTGGCACCGCGGGGGTCTCACACGGCTGCTCCAGGCTTCCCAAGGCACCGGTGCCGGTGTGACAACAACAGCGCCCAGCTCCCACGGGCAGGCTCAGCCACGCTCACATCCTTGCCAGGGGCTGCCAGGGCAAGGCAGAGAGGCCAGCGTCTCCCTACGAAATCAGACTCCAGCTTTTCATTTAATCACTTTTCTCTGATAATTATTCCATGTTTTTCCCAGTCACTTTGCACAGGAGGTCTCCGTTCAGGTCTGTATAGAATCATTATGTTTGGAAAGGACCTTCAAGATCATCGAGTGCAAGYGTCACCCCTTCAACACCATCCTGCTAAACCCTGGCCCTAGGCACCTCATCTCCACCCTTCTTCAACACTGCCAGCAATGGGGACTCCACCTCTTCCCTGGGCAGCCYGTTCCAGTACTTGACTCCTCTTTCCATGTAGAAATTCCTCCTAATATCTACCCTGGACCTCTCCTGATGCCATTTCCTCTTGTCCCACCTGTAGTTTTTCTGGAAATCAATCCTCACCTCACTACAATCTCCTTCCAGGCAGCTGTAGGGAGCAATAAAGTCTCCCTGGAGACCCCTTCTCTCCTCAGTAAACAACCCGGCTCCCTTAGCTGCTGACACTTCCTTCCCTTCCCTGTGTATCTTCCAGTACATTCTTGTTATTATTCACAACCCTTTCCTTAAAGGATCTCATCTGCTCAAAAYGAGGCTGTTCACCGGGCCAAGACCTGGCTGGGCTGCTCAGGCTCCCGAGCTGTTAATTATTCCCCTGCTGCTCCCCAGAGGCTGAAGGATGAGGACGAGCTGCAGTCACGTGCTGCCTCCAGAAGGAAAATGCAGCTGATGGAATTAGAGGGCAAGTGTGGCTCAAGAACAAAGGGGCTCGAGCTGGTACACAGTTAGGTCCCCAAGAAGCAGCCAAGGTCCTTGCAGAGCCTCTCAATCAGCAGCAGAGAGAGGAACCCCCCACCTTGCTCACAAAGCAACCATCAGCCTGAGGCATTTCCTTTGAGGTGCCTGTGAACACCACCGTCCTGGAGTCCTGCAGTCCTTGCACCGCGTCCTGTGCTGCAGCCCGGCGGGTGCTGCTCTTTCCACTGATGTCTGCCCATTTCAGCAAACATGGAAATTCACCATCATTTTCCCCTAATTGGGCTGAAATCTCACTGTGTCAATATTCAACAGGCTCCAATCAAAGTGCCCCTAAATCAAAATCCACCATTCAATCTAACTGACCCCAAAGCCCTGGGGAGGACGAGCGCTGGATGCAGAGGAGCCCTGGGCACAGCACCCATGGGTGCTCCGGGCACAGCGCCCATGGGAGCCCTGGGCACAGCGTCCCGAGGGAGGCCCCACAGCGTCCAGACCGGAGCTGCTCACCAATTGCCCTGGAGAGGTTGAGGCCACCATTCACTCTGCCATCCATGGTGACCTTGCCGCCAGCGTTCTTTATCCTGGCCAGCTCTACTTCATCCTCGGGCTTGTGGTCGTAGGACATGTCCACGGCCTTGCCGCCTTCRGACACCACGCAGCGCGAGTCTCCAGCATTGGCCACGATGAGCTGCTTGCCCCGGATGAGGGCCACGACCGCCGTCGTCCCGCTGTCAGAGCCAGGCTGCAAGACAAACGGTGCTGCTCAAACCCTCCACGTTGCTCCAGACCGCGACACAGGGAACGAGCGGCAGCCACCGCGGCCTCCCAGGCGCCGGGGCTCCCCGAACCACATGTGGGATGAGGGAGGGAAGCCCGAGGAAGGTGGAATACAGGGAGGCAGTTCACCCAGGCGCCTCCCTGCAGCACCACAGGCCCTCAGTGGTTCGGGGTCCCCCCCTGCTGCATCCTCAGCCTCAGTGCAGCCTCAGTGCAGCAGCTCCAGCCCCCCAGGTGAAGCAGGAGCTGCCCTGCAAGCCAGAACTTCTCCCAAGAGAGAGCTGGTGCCTCAGAAGCTGCAGGATCCTCTCCCCGCATCCCTGGATCTGGGGCCAGCGACAGCCTCRGCCTCAGCCAGGCGGAGGGCAACACGGTGCCCGAGATGGGCAGCCCCACAGGGCCCCTTCCCCAGTGGAGCAGCGTATCTCAACCTGCTGCCCAGGCCCGTGCGCCACCTGGGCAGATCCAGGCTGCCAGCAGCTGCCTTCAGCCTCGGGAGAGCAAGAGCRTCTTCCTCCCTGGCCAAAGGGAATAACGCCCGGCCCTCCCCTTCCCACCACACTATGGGGCAGAACACAGGAACAGGGTGTGCACCTCCTCTTTCCCCTCCATGCCTGGTAACAACATTTCCTCCTCTTCATCTTCATCCTCCTCAGCTTCTTCGGTGTCATCTTCATCATCTTCATTCTCCGCCTCTTCACTGCTGTAACCATCTTCGTCTTCACTGCATTCCTGCAAGAAACAAGATATTCCGCTAGGAATCACGCAGGACACCACCTGTGCCCTCCCCAGAGGGCTGGCTCCTCCATCCTCGGCACAGAGGATAAATTCACCCCAAAAGAAGAGTGGGATGATTGGGCAGGTTTTCCCCGGYGCTGATGTCTACAGAGCAGCTGCTTTCAGCTACCACAGTGAATGGAGGAACAGAATGTGCAGCAGGACCAGGGTACCCGTTAGGGCTGCTGCAGAGATGAGGAGGTTTCCTTCAGAGTTATCCAAACAATCCCTGACATTCCCATGGGATGGTCTCAAAGTGTCAGTCTGGAAATCCTACTCCTAGGGCAATCCTAGRATGAGCCAGAGAGCTGCAGCTCAAGCACCACAGCAAGCAATGCATTCCTGCCCAGCCCAAAGGCCATTCTTTCCCCGCGCTGTTTCCTACCTCACTGTCTTCCTCCTCTTCCTCAACCTCATCCGACTCATCCTCACTGTCCTCAAAAAATTTGGACTTGGTTGTGCGCTGGGGCTTTCCCGTGGAGGAGCAGGAGGGCCCGGCCTCCCCCGTAGAAGAGGTGACGGCCTCGTCCCCTTTGCCTACTTCAGGCTTCTGCGGAGCGCGGCCATTGCCTCCAGCACTGGCTTTGTCTGAAGTGGAGGAAATACCCACGAGCTCCTCATCTGGCTTCCCGTTCTTCCTCTCCTTGTGGTCGGTGAGCTCCCCTGGGTCGGCCTCCCCATTCATAATGGGCTCCCCATCGTGCTGCCTGCCCGGCCCCTCCGCAGCGCTCTCCCCGGGCGGAGCTAAYGACTTGGTTTTGGGGTTCTTGCTGCAGTTTTGTCCGTAACGCGTGAGAAGCTCCTCAATGGTCATGGTGGCTTCTTCGTGCAGAAGAGCAGCTTCCTCATTATCCACTGAAACGGAGAAGCGGGGAGGAGGAGGCAAGGGGGATCAGAAGGCAGGACACAAGCGGCAAAGAGCCTCCTCTTCTACCCGAGCAGGCTCAAACAAGCTGCAGCAGCAGCAAAGACACCACCTTCACACGCAGGTTTGTCCACTAACACTGCAGCCTGGAACAAGCTTCTCTAAGCAGCTTGCTCTGCAGCCCCTGGGCTCGGGGGTCCTGCACAGACACAGTCTAGACAGTGAGAGGTGACAGAAGAGCTTTAGGGAGTGAATACATCATCTCTCCAGAAGGAGACCAGAGGGAGAAAAAGGGATGGCCTTCCCCAAACTATGAGGGAAGACTCCACTGACAGCAGGCAACGTCCCATGGTTTCCCTGCGATACGCTCAGTTATCATTTCCTTTGCTAGTTAACACAAAAAGGAAAAGCAGCAGCCCTATCTAGAAAGGTACTGGAAAGAGACAAACTGAACTGTGTGCTCGCCAGCACAGGCCACGCAACCCAGCGTGGTCAGATGGATGTGCTTATGGAGATGGCTTCCCTCTGCACCTGCCTGAGGGCCCATCACAAGATACTCAGCTGGGAGCAGTGCGTTTTACCTGGAATGCATCTGGAGCTTCCTGGACTGGCAACTATTTTGAGCTAGGAAAGCACATTTGCTTCCTTTGAAATAATTAAAAAAATGTTGAAAGCAGACAGGAGCCTAACAGAATCCTACCTACAGCCCGTGTCTGTCGCCCGCCCACGGGAGCTAAGCAGAAGACATCACAGTTGCATTTGCACCCTTAGTCCATTTCCCAGCTCAGTACATCCTAGAGGGGTGTTGGGAAGGGAACACATCCTAGAACCCACACACGCCAGCGGTCTGCATCCCATAGAGAACTGTCACCAAGTCTCTTGCTCTGCACTGGATTAAGCTCCCAAATGAATGAGGCTCCCCAGTACCTACCAGAGCAACAGACAAGGCAGGCTGTGCGGGTGCGCGTGCGCACACGCGCTCGGGTCCCACTGGGACTCAGGGCAGTTTGGAGAGCAAAGCCCAAAGCTGACAGCGAGGTTGAACCCTGCAGGGACAGTCTCGCCCATCCCATGGCATCTAACTTACCATCATCCTCATCAGCAACTTTCTCCTTCTCATCTTCATCATCCTGGGGCCGCCCAGCCATCTGGGCAAGCTCTTTAATCACCTCCTCTGTGGTGAGCTTGGCATCTATGGCTAAGAAAGCATCTTCCAGGGCCTGCATGGAAACAGAGAGGCTGCAGGRTGCCGTGGCCGCGCGTGTCCCGGTCGTGGTTGCGGCTGGAGCTGCTCGGCACAGCACAGGCGCCCATGGGACACGTCTCAGCACCCAGGCACAGCCTCATCCCGATCCCGGCTTGCTTTGGGCCTCTCCTCRAGCCGGGTCTAGCTGGGAGCTCCAGAGGGAGCCTGTTGCTCCCGCTCGCACCGCTGCCTCTTCCTGCGGGAGCGCAAGGCTGCTGGTGCTGGCCCCGGCACGGGCGCCGCCGGGAATTGCAGCTCCCTGGCGCGAGCTCTGCGTCTCGTGAGCAGGCAGCCTACACAGAACCACCCCCGCCGCAGCCTGCAAGCCTGAAACACACCCCGCACCCATGGGCTGGAAACAGGCTGCTGATCTGGGAAAGCACAACCAGCTCCCGCAAACACCCCGAGGGATGAGGAAGGCAAAGGGAGACCCCCGTGGAAGGCCAGGCACTGCACAAGTGCCAGGCACCTCCCAAGGGCTTTTTGGTCTGTCCTGTGGCGACACCAATCCAGGGCGGCACTTCTTACCTTTTGCAATTTGCCCTCCTTATAGGCCTTCTGGTCCTTGATTATGTCAGGGAGGTACTTGGCACAGTACAGGGCAACTTCTTCCCCTGGAAGAGAACAGGGATCCCTTAGATCATTTACAGAGGCTGGTTCTCCCCATGGCAAGAGGGACTCTTGAGCATCTGAGATCCTGAGGCAAACCCAGCGTTAATGACGTGTGATGAGCAGCAGGTATCYCAGGATGTCACCCAGACCAAGGAGGGAGATGGCACGGCCTGGAGACAGACCATGCTGAAAAGACACTGCACAAACCAGGCAGCACAGGCAAAGCCACCAAAGGAGCCCTAGAAGTCAAAACCATGTTGGCAGCACACTAACAAATACTGCCAAGTGCACAAGAGAGCACAGGAGACATCTCTGTGATCATGGAATGAGTCTTCCCAACCCAAGAAGGTGCTATTAGGAGAGGAAGAAGCTGGAAGGGAGTGAAAAATCACAAATTTCTCCAGTTCAGCAAGGGGGACCATTAAGTGCAGTTCAAGTTGAAAAAAAATCAATGTAATAATTTCTGTTTGTGTGTGAGAGGCAGAAATCTGTCTAGGTAACAGGACTCCGGCCTGCTTGATAAGCTGAATACCAGCAAACTGCAAAGGTTAGCAGAGCTAAAAGTGGCCCTGGAGCGGAGGACGTCGCAGTCCCGGGCAGGAGCTCCCGCCAGGAAGGAGCCGCGCGACCCGGCCCTCCCATGTGGCTGCTCCGTCCAGCCGGGGATCCCTGCACGTCTGCTCGCTCCCACGACGGACTCGCCGGGAACCACACTGGGACAACCTGTGCTGCAGGAAAAACCCTGTGCTGCAGGAAAACCCCTGTCCTGCGGGAATTCAGCCCTGCAGCCGGGGCGGGTCATTGTGCCTGCCGGCCYGCGGCCGCTCTGCTCACGCTGGTGCTGGTGCTGCTGTGGGGGGAGGCAGCAGGAGCTGCTCGCACGGGCACAGACACCAAGGAGAATCCTGGCACAGCCCCGCACCATGCTAAATAACCCCGGGGCCGGCGGAGCGCTCTGCGGGATGCTCCCGGGGGCAGGTGGGGAGTGGTCTCTGTGCGGCCGCGCAGCCGGAGAGCGGCCAGGAGGCGCGAAGGGGCGGTGCGAAGCCCTTGCAGGGCACAGAGGGCTGCGACAGCCCTGCTCGTGCAGCCCGCCCCCCGGAGGTCCCTGGTGTAGGGGACCACCAGTGCTCAGAGGGGCGAGCAGCAAGAGAGGCAGCTCCTGCAGCGAGGGATGTGGCACGTGCAGGGTCCCTCCCAGCAAGGGGGATGGCATCTCCTTGTTCTCATTCCTGCCTGCTCAGGACACCAACTCCAGTCCTCCAACACGGCCTGGGCGCCGGAGGGCATCAGCTGGGCTGTGCGACAGGAGATACGTGCTCACCCGCTCCTGCGGATCTCCTGTGGATCSGGAAGGCCTGGGCCAGCTGCGCTCCAGCCTGGAGCAGCTACCTGCTGCGAGGAGAGGCGCGCTCCCTCGCAAGGGGACCCCGAGGCCAGCAGTGGCCGGGAACCTGCGCCAGCTCTGGCTGCAGCCGCCCCACGGGAGGAGCGGAGGTGCCACAAGCATGCGGAGCCGTTGGCTCCCGCAGCTCCAGCACAGCGGGACCGTCGCCGGCGCAGGCCCAGGGCCCCGTTCAGCCCACTGCGTAACGAGCCACCAAGGTAGTTACGGCCCGTTCAGGTTTTATCAAGACCACCTCCATTAAACATCGGGTATCCTTCTGCTGAAGGTTCAGGACAGGGACAGGGTGGCAGCAGCAGGGGACAGGGCCGCATAAAAGGGCTGGTTTAGACACCTTGGTCACGCTCAGTACTCCTTATCATTGCTTTTCCCTGCCACCTCCATCAGGGATCAAAGGATTCAACTCCGTAATTCCCAGCCCGCGGAATTACTGACCTTAGGGAGGAGAAAACTGTCAGAGATGGCACAACAGAGCGAGCGGCTCCTGGACATGCCAGGGGACCTCAGCCCAGACCCCGCTCTTCTCACGGCCACTCGTGGCTTCCCCTGCTGGTCCTTACCTACGACAAGGCATTCTCAGAATTCACATTTCCCTCCTTACTGCAGTTCCTGGCACTGCGCACAAATGTGCCCTTACGGAATGATGTAGGGAACGGGGAAGCTCTTGGCTGCCAGAGAATGCAGGGAGATTTCACGCTGCTGGAGAGACCAGGCACAAAGGTGAAAGCAAAGAATGGGATTTCACATCCCAGAGCACATTTCCRCACGGGTAAACGTCACTGCCAAAACCCGTGTCCGATGCAGGCCAACCAGCAGGAGCCGSGCTCGGATGGAACCGGGGGACATCCCGAGGCGGTGGTGCCGCCGGAGCCTGGAGCTGCCTCCCGCTCCGGAGCACAGCCCGGGCCAGGTGGGGTCCCATCCGCTCGGACGCGTGTCCACATGAGCCCGCGGTCTGAACGCACGAGAGGCCCCAAGCGGCACCGTGCAAAGCAGCTAACCTGCAAGATTAGCAATCCCGACCTGAAAGGATTCCAGTGCCGGGACAGGGGAACGCGGAGACAGTGAGAGCAGCGCCGAGGCGAGAAGGAACCAAGGACACGGTGACAGAGCCCTGCTGCTCTGCACAAACTGCAAAACAGCTTTCGCTGCACGGCGATTAAATACCCCGATAAATATCCATRGAGTAAGAAAAAGGCTTGCTGTAAGTGTCTCATCTCTGAAAGGGGATGCAACAGAGGAAAAGGAAGGGATTTGCTAAAGGGAAATGAGAAGGAACAGTTACAAATACAAAACCCGTGTACGCAGCAGATGACTGGAGGCTCAAACTGGCGGTGCAGAGCTGCTGCGCGCCTGGCTCCCAGGACCCACGTGTATCTGTGCAGCAGATACAGGCCACTAAAACGCAAAGGCAGCAGATCCTGGGGGAGACGGGGAAGTTCGAGATGGGGAAAAGATAGGAAAAGAAAGTTGAAAAAGGAAAGTAGGAGAAAGACATGAAAAAAGTCTAATGGGTTAAATGGAAAACTAAGTAGTGAAAAAAATATAATACAAAAAACAAGGATCAACTTGGAAATCACAAAATGTTTTGCAAAGACACCTGGAGCTGGAAGCTTCCTAGATAGTTTAAAGCCAAAAAGGTATAAAAGAACAGCTGGAAAAGAAAAGCTGAACTCACTCTTTGCACTGGAGCTACCCTAGTAAAGTTTAAGAGGGTATACACCTTAAACCCTTCCCACAGAACAAACCTGAAGAATTCTAAAGAAGCAATAACTCAGGATGGACTGACTGGTTTTGAGGACCTCTCCCACTCCAGCCGTAGGGGCAGAGCAGCCATACCCGCAGGCTTTGCTTCCTGGTAAGGTTTCTTTAGGAATAGCTCTGCATCTCAATCACTGAAGACCTAAAACCAGGTTTGAGATCTACCGCAGAGCTTTGTCATCATGATTAACCCCTTCCCTAGCGCCTACCTTTAACCTTTCCTATTGCAATTAAAACAAACAAACAAAACCCCTACCACYTCATGCACTACACTAGTTAGAATGTCAGAGGAGTGTCAAAACTAAATTTATTTCATGAAAAGCTCATGAAATAAATTACTTCTCAGTTATGAAGCAGGTTTGCTTAAAGACAAAAACAGCCTGTTTTGGAATGAGTTATTATTCCCCAGTTTTCACTAGCTGTTGCTTATCTTCATACCTGCTAGAGGCTTACAACCACTCCCGAAATTCTGCAGGAACGACGCTGGGTGGTTGCTAAATCCCTACGTTCTTTCCTGCTCTGCCTTTCAGGACCAACCCATCACCCTACAGCTCTCCAAGATAATCTTGGAGATATCAGTAGTTATTACACTTCCCGCACATCCTAGAATGAAGTTCAGGCTGAAAAATAATTTGAAAACATTAAATCTATTTAAGTGCTTCAGACTGCTCATGTATCTTTGAACAGCCACTAGCTTGCCAACGACCTACTCACACTGACCTTTTCATTAAAGACCACTGCAAAAAGTCTTAAACTCGTATTTGCCAACGAGCAGAACGTGCAGGTGATGCACGTTTCTGGGAGAACTTGCACATGAGAGCGCCAGACCATGGGCAGCAGGAGGCACCGGCTCCAGGGCCAGCACAAATGGAAGGTGTACAGATGATACCAAAAACAAAGGAAAAAGGCCTCGGTGTGGTGGAAATCTGGTTCACAATGCTGTGGACCAGCCACAAAACGGTAGAAATCAGCAGATTCATGATACCTACAATACCTAGTGGTATTCTACCAATACATACGGTAAAATAGGGAAGAACAATGGAAGTAGAGGGGAGAACTTTTTCAGAGTCAACGTGCAGCTGAAAATAGGTGGTCTAGTTGATATATATGTATATATAAAACATAGATTTTCATAAAAGCTTTCAAATAAGTTGCCAAATGTTGATATAGTAAACTGCCATGGGAAAAAAAGTAAGATTTGATGGGAGCAAACAGCTTGCTGAATGGATGAGGACTATTGTTAGAGTCCCTTGGAATTTTGTATTTTCATATCTATATAAATAACCTGGAAAAGGAGGTCAGGAAAAAGTGATGGATCATTCAGAATAGTTACAACTAAAATAAAATTATAGATTTTAAAAATATAGATAGAACAATACAATGCCTGGAACCTATGGCTGTGCCCAGGCTCACAGCCTAACAAGTGCCAGGGCCCAGGAATTTCACCACCWGTGCTAGAAATCCCTGGGATGGTCCATAGGGATGCCCTTCCATGGCAGACATTGTGCCATGAATTCCTGGCACCGATGTCGCCGTCCCAGAGCGCGGCTCCGGCAGCATTCCCGGAGCGCCGAGGCACCCTTACCTCCGTGGCCATCGTAGACGGAGAACATGGCAGTTTCGCTGTCCAGTTCGGGGATGCAGTTGTGTGCGTCCTGAAAGAGAGAGCAAGAGCCTGAGAGGCAGCGAGTGCAGSTTTTTTTCCCAGAAAAGCGTGAATTTTCTGGAGAAATCCCTGCCAATAGATGAACTTAAGGGTGTACCGTGTTTGTACGATCACTTGTTACTGCGTTTACGGGAGCTGGAGAGGAGGGAAGAAAACACAGCAAAGTAACTGGGATGGGTCCCAGGCGACTAAGCAGCAGTTTAATTGGAGCAGATGCCGCTGGGAGGAAAATCTAATGCTGGCAGCAAGAACGGCGCTTTGGCGGCACCGGCAGCTCACGGTGACACACGTGGCTGCTCCTGTGCCGGGCTGCTGCCGGGAGCACTGGACTGCTGCGGGGAGTGCTGGGAACGCTGGGCTGCTGTCGGAAAGCCAGGAATGTCGGTCCGACGCTGGGAATGCCGGGCTGTTGTTGGAAATGCTGTGCCGTGCTGGGAGTGCTGGGAATACCGGGTTGCTGTTGGAAGCACTGGGCTGCTACCGGGAATGCCAGACTGCTGTGAGGAGTGCCGGGAATGCCAGGCTGTTGTTGGGAATGCCGGGCTGCTGTGTGAGCGCTGGGAATGCYGGGCTGGGAATGCCATGCCGGGAGCACCGGCAGTGCCGGGCCACGCTGGGAGTGCCAAGCTCAGCGCCTCATGCCCRAGGAGTCTCCGGTTGCCCCACCGGGTGCCAGAGCAGAGCCGGGGCCGGTGCAGTTCGGCCGACACCAGCAAACCTGCCATTGCGGACGGCTGCCTGGAGGAACCTCCGCACCTGGGGTCAGCTCCCGTGGGCTCCGGAGCCCGGGCTCCTCCTGGACGCTCCAGAGCGGCCACACGGCCCTGGCCTCGGGAAGCCTCGTCCTGGCGGCCCACCCGGAGCGCCGGAGCCCGGGGCTCCCGAGCGCTGCTCCCCGCTGCAGCTCAGCCCTTTCCGCAGGCGCTCCAGCGCTGCTCTGCTCCCCTCGCTCTGTACCGCCGGGATCTGCCGTTCACAGGCGAGCGCTGTGGAGCAGAGCGGGCAGTTCTGCTGCCCGGGAGCCCCAAAACGCAGCGCCAGGCGCCTCCCAACGCCCGCRACGCGGCGCCCGTGCAGGAACGTGGCGGGAGAGGCGGAAAACGGGAGGCTGCAGCCCGGAGATGGAGCGAACAACGGGCCCCAGCAGCGAGGGAAGGCACCCGGGGCGGCGGTCGCGCCGGTGCTGCGGAGAGCCGCCTCCGTGCGGCCCCTGCGGCGGCT